GTGTCCATCGGGTGTCAATTTCGGGACAGTGTGACAGGGGCTTTAAGATGTTGGTCCCATATATGCATGTAGATGACTTGCTTTGCTTCTACTAGAATGATCTCTAGGTGAGCATTTAACATTTATTAGAGGAAATTAACTGAGAGAAATATCTCCAGTTTACAGACGGTAAAATGTCATTCCTTAAAATGCAGCGTGTGGCTTTTGATATGCGAGTATATTTGACTGTGGGTTATTTATTACACCTATCAAACTCACACTAACTGCCATAAACAACATCAGGTATGCACTCGATGTATAGCCGCATGCATTNCGGCGGTCATACGATGGCTTAAGATGCCCTCACGAATGGCCCGATGTTGTTACGATCAGAGCCCAATTTGAACATTTCCTTAATCGTGTGTCCATCGGGTGTCAATTTCAGGACAGCGTGACAGGGGCTTTAAGATGTTGGTCCCATATCTCCAGTTTACAGACGGTAAAATTTAATTCCTTAAAATGCAGCGTGTGGCTTTTGATATGTGAGTATATTTGACTGTGGGTTATTTATTACACCTATCAAATTCACACTAACTGCCATAAACAACATCAGGTATGCACTCGATGTATAGCCGCATGCATTTGAGTGACTGTCTGCATCTTCTTGTGTTTGCAGGCTGACAATGCTGTCCTTATTTCTGCAGCATTACAGCATTCGTTCCAATGGGCTTGTATTGCTCACATGCACAGTGAGAGTCCTGTGTTTAAGCACACTGAAGTATTTGTATTGCATATCGAGGGCGTAAATAGGCCCGACTGCTAACTAGCGTTTTCATGCACTAATGCAGATTTTACAAGCAGAAGAGACAAAAGTATCTGCAAATGATTTCAACCAGCTGCAGTCTGCATGACACAGGTGGGAAGACAGACTGCAGGTGAATGCTTCAATCCACACAGATGAAAGTAAAGAAGCTTCACGAGGCTGTATGCGTGCAGAACGGCGACCCATGTGATTAAAACTAGAGTTAACTTGTGGGAAGGAAACCTTGCTCCGAGCAAATTGGAGACTTGGCGGTGAATCCTCCGAATGTACTGTAAAAACATTTACATGCTTAATGCAGATCTGCCTAAGTCATGTGGTCTTTCAGCCAGATGGAAAATAAGAGAAGGATTCTGTTAATAATCTCCCTCTGTGGCTGCAGGGAGAACACAACAAAGAGATATCATATGAATTCTCTTCAGAAAAGGGACATAAAATAGCTGAGAAATACTATTTATGTACATGTTTTAGGTAATCATAGTGACAGTAGAAAAGGACTCTCAACTGGTCCGGCCTCGGGACCCACTTTTTACTTTGGCAATAAATGGCGACTCACCATTTTGAACCACTCAAATCTATTCAACCAGAAATCGTGCTGTAATATATACGCCTTTCAGCAGACAATATTAATTAAAGTGAAATACAGTGCATATATCCCTTATATCCCTTCACAGAACCAAAGTATGCTTTTAAAAAGGTTTAATGAGATGATGGAATCAAAGCTGAACTGTAGGCTATAACATAAAAAGGCCCACATGCTGAAAACACCAGGAAGGGATTCTGGGGGGATTGTCCCCCAGGGGATTTTTAGAAATACTAACATATAAACTACGCATTCTGGTACACTCTGAGAAGAAAATAAATACATCTATTACTACCCGAAATATTAATAATATTTTCTGCCGTTGTTTGTTTTTCACGGGCCTTCAAAATAAAAGTTTAAAAAAAAATAAAAAAATTCTTCAATAAAATCCGCGACCCACTCGAAACGGATCCGGGTCGCGACCCACCAGTTTTGAACCACTGCACTAGAGCATACAGAATAAGTTAAGATACCCTCTTATATCTACTAAAGGGACAGGAACATAGTGTACTATACACATTCTACTGTAGAGGCGTGTCTCACCATCATCTTGCGAT